TGGCCTCTGTCCTATTTGGTGTCTCCTCTCCCTGTCCGCCTTCCCAGCATCTCATGGCCACTCCACTCCGGCAGGGCTCTCAAGAGCCCCTGCTGTCCACCCCAGCCCTGTTTGTCACTGTCTGAAATACCTTCATGCACATCTCTTCACCAACATGCCCACCTTACAAAAGCCTTTCTCATCCGTTCCATGAAGCCTTGCTTGTCTTTCCCATGAGACTGGCTGTGTGTCAGGTTGCTGCAGCACGGACCCTGTCACTAGGCAGTGCATTGCTGGACATCTGATGGTCCATGCAGTTTCTTTAGACCTCTGGCCTTTCTCATGAAGGCTAGCTTGTCTTCCTGGTCAGACAGGGAGCTCCAGAACCCATGCCTCTAAAATTAAGACAGGCCTCGGCAGACGGCAGAGGCATAGCTTTTTCAGAACTGGAAGATGTTTTCTGGTCTAGCTGGCAGCCATGTAGGGCAAGCTGCCTTATCACGTCCTACGTGGCAGCAGGATAGACTGAAGTGAGACTCGAATAAGATCTTCCTAATGTGAAGTTGCCTGCTTTTGCCCTTTCTTTCCAAATACTCTTTGGAAGAAGAACCACGTGGGCCAAAACAAGCGCTTCAGAGACCAATCTCCAGATGCGAAGGTCTGTTGGTTCACCCCATCTCTTGTTTCTCTTGTGGATTAAGTGGGAGAAATGCCACGGGGGCCCGCAGGAAACCGTGAGCGCACACCCTCCACTGGGCATCTGTTCAGCAGCAGTGCAATCTCACCTTCTCTCGTTCCCTTGGGAGCTTCATCCTGCACAGATGGACTATTGAGGGCATCTCTCTCCACTCCAGGCTGGCTTCTGGCTGGTCGGAAGGTTTTCAGGATCAGGCGAAGAGAGAGGGTCATACATCAGTGATCCTAAATCAACGATCCTAAATCATGATTTGATTAATGATCGAGGATTTCTGATGGTCTGCAAAGGCCAAGCAAGGATGGCAAATTTATGAACTGTTCTCAGATTTCAGACTTTTTTTGATTGCCCAAGCCTCTCTCCTCACTCAGAGAAGTGACTGGGGACATTTTCCCTTTGACTAAAACATAGGTTCCCAAACTCTTTGGGCCTACTGCCCCCTTTTCAGGAAAAAAAAAAAAAAGTTACTCAGCATCCCCTGGAGTACACATTAAACACATTTGTACTCCCAATCCAAGAAAAGTGTTGTTATTGCTCTTGCAGCATTCCCTGGATCATTCTAGCACCCCAGGGGTGACATCACCCACTTAGGGAAATATTGAAAGGGAAGATTTAGGCTGGGCTTTCCCTGTGGGCAATCCAACTGGAAGAGAGATTGGGTGGGGGAATTCACTTTGGGGCTCTTTTTCAGGATAGGCCCCATGGCAGGCAGCAGACAATATTTACTGAGCACTGCTATGCCAGACCTGAATCTCGGTGGCCAAGTGGCCAACTTATTGGGCTGTTAATTACCAGGTTGGTAGTTCAAACCCACAAGCAACTCCTCAGGAAAGACGAGGCATTCTGCTCTTTGTAAATGTTTACAGGCTCAGAAACCCACAGGGACAGTTCTGCCCTGTCCCATAGGGTCACTGTGGTTAGGGATTGACTCATTGGCAGTGAGTTTGGCTTTAGTCTGGGTATCAGGCACTGTGTTAAGCACTGTCTATGCATTATTTAATGTATTTTCTATATTAGTTCTTTAAGATAGACACCAATAGTGAGCACTGAATGTAACTGGTCTAGGAAGGTTATCAAGCATGTCTCTATCTGCCTCTGATAGAACTGTGTTCCCCCCAAATAAGTGTTGTAAATCCTAACCCCTAGAGAGTCATTAGTTAGAATGGACTGGATGGCAGTGATTTTTTTTCTTCCTCTCTATGCCTGTGGTTATAACTCCACTTGGGACTGGGGTGTCTTTGTCATGTGAATGCGGCAGGACTAATGTAGAGTGTGCTTCAGCTAATCTCTTCTGAGGCTAAGCAAGCAAGCGAAAGAAGCAGAGATAGGGAAGACAGAAGACAAGCTTCACCGGGACCCCCCACAGAACCAGGAAGCAGAAGCTGAAGTTGTAGAGACCAGGGCTGCCTTCCAGCACCAACACAGAGAGAAGACCTTCACCCAGAGCTAGCGCTTTGAATCTGGACTCTAGCTTTCTCAAGGACCCCTGGTGGCATAGTGGTTACGTGCTGGGCTGCGATCCGCAAGGTCAACTGTTTGAAACCACTGGCCACTCCTGGGGAGAAATATGGGGCTTTCTATTCCTGTAAGGAGATACAGTCTCAGAAACCCACAGGGGCAGTTCTATTCTACCCTGCCCTATAGGGTAGCCATGAGAGGGCACCGACTCCGTGGCAGTAGTGAGTGAGTGTGTGTGAGGGAGCTTCACCAAGGAGGAGCCCTGGTGCTATAGTGGTTACACATCACGCTGTGCTCAGCAAGCAAGGTCAGCAGTTTGGAACCACCAGCCAATCTGCTGGAGGAAGACCGGGCTTTCTACTCCCATAGAATTACTGTCTCAGAAACCCACAGTGGCAGTACTACCCTGTCCTATGGGGTCTCTGTGAGTTGAGTCAGCATCCACTTAGTGACAGTGAATTTTGAGATAACTAAGCCACCGCCCCCCTCCAAACTTGCTGATGTATCCCGAGCACCAGCAAAACAACACCTAGCCTTTACCACTCCATTGAACCTGCTTATATGTTTTCTGCAGCACCAGCAATCACTACGAACATTATTACATAGTTACAATGTGTCGGATTACGCTTTAAGTGCTTTACATGGGTTAATTATTCTAATCCTTACAACAACTTTATGAGGCGAGTGCTAGTATTATCTCCATTTTACAAGTCATAAAATGAGGCACAGAGAAGTTAAGTAACTTGTCTGAGGTTGCATAGCTAGAAAGTGGCAGAGCGAGCCCTTGCGGTCAGGCAGCTTGGAATGTGGGTCTGTGCCCTGAATCATCACGTCATGCCTTTCAACTCTGAGGAGTTGCCACCATAATCAGAAATAACTTTACACAGTGGCTGGGTGTTGGTGTTGGGTGCCATCAAGAGTTTTGGCTCATAGTGACCTTATGTACAACATGAAGTCCTTGTGGCATAGTGGGCTGTGTGCTGGGCTGCTTTCCACCTGGAAGGCCAGCACTTCGAATCCGCCAACTGTTTTGTGGGAGGAAGGTGAGGCTTTCCGCTCCTATAAATATTTACAGCCTCTGAAACCCAGCACAGGGTTAGGGTTGCTATAAGTAAAAACTGACTGAAGAGCAGTGGGTTGGCTTCTTTTGTTTCGTTTTTCTGTGTACAACAGAATAAAACACAGACCAGTGCCATCCTCACAATTGCTGTTGGGTGTGAGCCCAGTGTTGCAGCCACTGTGTCGATCCGTCTTGTTCCTCTTTTGTGCCGCCCCCCACCCACTTTACCAAGCATGATGTCCTTCTCCAGGGACTGGTTCCTTCTCATCACGTGCCCCAAGTGCCTGAGATGAAATCTCGCCAGCCACGTTTCTAAGGACCATTCTGACCGAGCACACCCAGAAACACACACTACATCCCAGTGAAGCAAAAGGCCATGGGACAACAGCTGTTTTTACTAAAGATCCACCCTGATATTCTAGTCTATTTCATTAAAACGAAATCTGGTTGCTTACAGCCTGGAAAAGGAGGCCACAAAGCTGAAAAATGCTTTTCATTCAAAGGCAGGCTGCTGCCTTTCAAGGGCAAAATTAAGAAGTAGGTGACATGCAGAGGTGCTCACAGGGCATTGCACACATCTCTATAGCCCACGCACAGCAGCAGCTCTGGCGAGGAAAGGCTTAACCCAGGAGTGAGGGATCTCGATGCAGTCACAGAGAGCTTATTGGGACTCAGCCCTTTTGAATTCAATGCCCATACTCCCCCCCTGAGTGGGCACCTCATCCATACTGGTCTGCCCTGTCGCTGAGAACTGCTGGGCAGGGTGGGGAGTGGCAGGGTGGAAGCAGTACAGAAAGCCTCCGGGGCGCAGGGGGTGAAGGAGGAGGACCGGATGCTTCCACTTAGGCTTTCATCTGGATTTCCTGTTTGGAACCCTGGGCTGGACAGACCACGACAGTGGTGCCCACCCTGGGCTGGGTGGACCCTGGAAGTGACAGTGTGTTGAGGCAAAATCCAGACTTGCTGGGGTGCCTGTTTGGGAACGTCTGAGCTTCCTTGTGGCCAGAGAGCCAGAATATGGCCTCCAAGGGTTCCTGGAGCTGACCACGCTGACTGAATTGTCGCAGGGACTGGTCTGTGTGCACACGGGGTGGGTGAGGGTGTACTTGAACATGCGTGAGCGCTTTGAGAGATGGTGGGTAGGAAGGCCTCTATGTGAATGCATGGAGTGTGTGTGTGTGTGTGAGAGAGAGAGAGTCACACACAGAGAGAGAGAGAGAGAGAGAGAGAAAGAGAGAAGTCTCGGGCTAGCGGGATCTTTTGGGGTTCAGGAAGAGTACTTCGCCAAGTGCACCTCAAGTTCCACAGGCCTTCTGTGCATTTCACCCTGGCCCGCATCCCCAGTCCAGTTCAATCAGCACCGCGGACAGAGGCGAGGAGCGCCTTCAACGGGGCGGAGCCGGAGGCCGCGCAGCCCAGCCGCTTCTCCGCCCTCATACTTCACCTGAATCACCCCCTTGTCCCCCTCCTCCAACCCCTACGACTCTCCAACCCAGTTCTGGGAGATTGGGGTGCGGGTGGGGTAATGGTGAGCTGGCCCTTTGAAGATGAAAATTGTGCAGTTTAGGACTAAGGGCCATAAACATCTGGCAGCTTCTGGCACATTAAGGGATGAGCGGCGGCAGCTAAGCAACCCAAGCCCATAAAGGCGACTAATTGCCCCTGGCCCTGTGGTCGCGGCGCTGGCCGGCTCCCGGCACCTATAAAAGGCCCACAGGGGTGCGAGAGGCACACACCTGACACCTCCTCCGCCTTGCGCTGCTTCAGAACGTCTCCCTCCTCCGCGCCTCCCGTCCCCAAAACAGCACCATGACCTGTGGATCTCACTGCGGCCGCGCCTTCAGCTGCGCCTCGGCCTGCGGGCCCCGGCCCGGCCGCTGCTGCATCACCGCCGCCCCCTACCGCGGCGTCTCCTGCTACCGCGGCCTCCCCGGGGGCTTCGGCAGCCGCAGCATCTGCGGGGGCTTCCGCTCCGGCTCCTGCGGACGCACCTTCGGCTACCGCGCCGGCGGCGTGTGCGGGCCCGTCCCGCCCTGCATCACCAGCGTGTCGGTCAACGAGAGCCTGCTGACGCCCCTCAACCTGGAGATCGACCCCAACGCGCAGTGCGTGAAGCACGAGGAGAAGGAGCAGATCAAGTGCCTCAACAGCAGGTTCGCGGCCTTCATCGACAAGGTGGGTGCCCCGCATCGCGCCCTGCCGCAGCCCCCACCCATGTTCAGTGCTGCCTTGGCCACCGATTGTGGGGAGAGGGTCAGGAAAATCAACATCAGGACGACTTCTGCCTGTGGGAACTCTGAGCCTTCTGGGAGAGGTAGACAGAGTAAGACATCGTTCTCACAAGACACAACAGAGAATGGGGCCAAGCAGGGCTTGTGGAAGCAGCCAGGTGACCAGAGTGTAGGCAGTTGGGGGAGAACAAGACCCCTGCTTCAGAAATCAGAAAGGTTTGAGCAGCCTTAGGCTCAGAATGAGACTCCCTCTGCGGAATGGTGGGCATCTTCTGGATGGCCTGTAACCTCATTCCCCTGCTACCCACCCTCAGAGGCTCGTTCTGTGATAGGGGCCCAAGAGCGTTGGCCATGAGAGCACCTGAGGGTGAGGCAGCCGAGTCCTCCAGCTACCTCCTCACCTGCTGTTGCCACGCTGGGACAGCTCAGTTGCCACCACACAGAAATGAACCTCCCCAGGCCTTTCCAAGCTGGAACAGCCATAGACGTGGATCAGCAAATTCAGAAGTGGCCCTTTTCCCCACTCTTACCTGTACCTAATCACTTCTGAGCTCCAAGGGCACCTTAGTAAACCACCCCCAGAGCAGGCCAGGAACTACAGACACCTCGCCCTATCCCACACTGCAGGTGCGCTTCCTGGAACAACAGAACAAGCTGCTGGAGACCAAGTGGCAGTTCTACCAGAACCGCAGGTGCTGTGAGAGCAACCTGGAGCCCCTGTTCAACGGCTACATTGAGACGCTGAGGCGGGAGGCCGAGTGCGTGGAGGCCGACAGCGGGCGGCTGGCCTCAGAGCTCAACCACGTGCAGGACGTGCTGGAGGGCTACAAGAAGAAGTGAGTGCGGCAGGGTGCAGGGTCCTGGGCTTGGTCAGGGAAATTGGGCTGAGATCAAAGGAAGGCATGCTGGGATTAAACACTTAAGAAGAATTCCCAAGGAGGGTGAGTTGTCACCCAGCCCTCGCTGCCTGTGGGGCAGGACCTTGACATTCTTGCCTAAGTGCAAGGCTGTGACTCCCCACAAGCTTCTGCTGCATGTCTCTGAGCCAAACCACAACAGCAGCCATCGCTTCTGAAACCTGGGAGCAGGCTTGCACAGAGCACCTGCCAGGCCATGTCCTGACCTCTCAGACCCCCACTTCTACAGCACCCGGACAAACGGTTCCCCAGAGGGTCACTTGGGAGTGACAGGTCCCACGGTCTTGGGTGCTGAGAGCCTCTTTATCCTAGAGGACCCTGCACCGCAGTGAAGACTGACAGCTGGGTCAGGGGAGGCTGGGCCGCACTGCCTGGGAGGCAAGTGTCAGGGTTGAGTGGCTAGGTGCTTTCTGTGGGGACACTGAGTAGCCTTGGGGATAGGACTGAGGTCCCAGGAGATGGGTCACTCCCCCTCGCAACCCCCGCCTCCCCCACATTCAACCTGGGAAGGAGAGCACCAGGGAGGACCTCCGGTGACTGCCTGGGCCTGGTTTTGTTGAGCGGATCCTATTGTTCCTCCCTCCTTCACCCGTCTGAAGTGTGTGTGTGTGTGTGTGGGTGTTGTGGAAATCTGCCTTTCCTTGACCTGGCTCTCTCCTCAGGTACGAGGAGGAAGTTTCTCTGAGAGCTACAGCCGAGAATGAATTTGTGGCTCTGAAGAAGGTGAGGAGCTGGGGTGGGGATGGGGATGGGGGTGGGTGAAGTATAGACACAAGGGGTCTCAGAAGGATGGCCTCTTTGGGGGGTGATCCAGAGGGTCTTGACCTCAAGGTGAAGGACAAAAGGGAGGTGCATTTCCAAATCAGGATGAGAACTTTGCAGAGAGCCGGGCCATTGAATGGCTCATCCAGGGCATGGGTAAAGGGCCATAGCCTTGGGATATATGCACTAGTACCCTCTCCTGGGCCAGAGGGATGGCTGGGTTGACCTCTGGAGGCCCTGCTCTTCGTCCCAGGTTGTGGCCGGTGGCTGGTGTCCACAGAGGCATGGCTGATTCTTTCTCTCTGGTGAGGAAGAGTGTCTCCTGTCCAGCACTCTGGGAAGTTTGGCCAGGAGGAAGGGAGTCTCAGGAGAGAGGGGACAATAGAGCAGAACCAAGAATGGCCAAGTGGAGTCTCAGGAGGCTGCATGGGGTGTAGCAAGAGGGAGGAGGCCAAGGTGTCAGGGCTGGGGAAATTAGTTTGGTCAGGCCTCCTGGAACAGGAGGGAATAGGTAAAAAGGATAGAAGAGGGGCAAGACATCTCTAGGAGGAGGTTTGGAAGGGTGGAGCCAGCTCCCAGGCTCCTGGAAAGGGATGGAATTCTGGGGTATCCTGGGAAGGACCAGAAGGTGAAGTTTTGGGGTGGGAATAGAAATCAGGGAGCTAGATGAGCTGGAAGTGGGGGCCATGACCCCCAGGGGTCCTCGGATTCAGACACGCCTCACTCTCCTAGGACGTGGACTGCGCCTACCTCCGCAAGTCAGACCTGGAGGCCAACTCTGAGGCCCTGACCCAGGAGATCGACTTCCTGCGGCAACTGTATGAGGAGGTAAGGGATCCTGCTCAGCAGACACCCAGCAGGAGGCACTAGGGATGGGGGGCAGGGGCAGGGGGCTGCTGACAGGCAGAACCTGGGCACCAGGGTGGGGCTGTGATGATTTAGAGCAGGTTGTCGATGGGAGAGGCTGTGCTGTAAACAAGATTCTGCCACCTCTTCCACCCCCTGCAGGAGATCCGGGTCCTCCACGCCCACATCTCAGACACCTCCGTGGTGGTAAAGATGGACAACAGCCGGGATCTGAACATGGACTGTGTCATCGCCGAGATCAAGGCTCAGTATGACGACATCGCCAGCCGCAGCCGGGCCGAGGCCGAGTCCTGGTACCGCAGCAAGGTGAGTCGCCCGGGACACCTGCCAACTAGGCATGGCCATGGGAGGATGCACAGCATGGATCAGAAGGCCTTCCTTTTTCTGGGGACACTGCCGATGCCAGAGGGTCCTTCTCTAGAGAGGCAGAGGGCAGGATTGACAGCTCTCCTGGGTGGCCCCTGAGTGGTTGTGCAGGCTGAGCACTGTCCAACCTGCTAGTCATTCCTGGTGAGCTGATGCGCATCCCACTGCCTCCCTTCCCCTCCTGCAGTGCGAGGAGATGAAGGCCACAGTGATCCGGCACGGGGAGACCCTGCGCCGCACCAAGGAGGAGATCAACGAGCTGAACCGCATGATCCAGAGGCTGACTGCTGAGGTGGAGAATGCCAAGTGCCAGGTACGCCTCAGCCCGGGCCCGGGACCAGAGAGCCTGGGCATCTGCCCAGGACCACACAGCCAGCGAACCCACCACCTGGACTTCCCCTTCACACTCCAGCCCGTGGATGTGATGGGGGTCCCTGGTTGTGGTCACACAGGGAGACCCAGGGCTGAAGGAGGGCAGGTCCCGTCCCTGGAGGGGTTGTCCCCGTTTCTGGGTGGGAGAAACTGAATGAATCCAGGGCAAGGACAGACAAAGAGACCCAGGGACCACAGCTCAGCTTGTTCTCTCCTGGGCTCCCAGAATTCCAAGCTGGAGGCTGCAGTGACCCAGTCTGAGCAGCAGGGCGAGGCGGCCCTCAACGACGCCCGCTGCAAGCTGGTCGGGCTGGAGGAGGCCCTGCAGAAGGCCAAGCAGGACATGGCCTGCCTGCTGAAGGAGTACCAGGAGGTGATGAACTCCAAGCTGGGCCTGGACATCGAGATCGCCACCTACCGGCGCCTGCTGGAGGGCGAGGAGCACAGGTGGGTGCCAGTTCTTTTTCCAGCCTCGCCTGGGCTTTGAGCATGCCCAGCCCTCCCCGTCCTGACACCACTCGACTTCTGTTTCCAATCCTTCCTCTTCTGCAACTGGACAGAGAATTTCCGTAAGTCCTTTCAGCACCTTTTCTATTCTCATCCAGTTCTTTCACAGCCACCTGGACCCTGCTCTTGGGTTGGAGCCTTTTTTCCCATCACAGGTCTGCTCCTCAGAGTCAGGAGGCAGGCTGCAGGCACTCCAATCCGGAGAAGCTTCACCTTGGGTGTAGGGCCACTTTCTTGGACCAGAGCTTCAGTTCTCCTCCTTCCATTCTCCTAGGCCCCAGACCTCTGGGGGTTCACAGTGATCCTATCACAGTGGCTTCAGATAGGAGACTTCATCTGCGAAGTCTTCATCGGTTCACCTAGTCTAATCAGTCCCCTTAAGTAGTCGGGCTGCGGCTGGTGGGCCTGAGGTTAGACTGTAGGAACCTATCCCTGAAAGTGGGTACAGCCTGCTTCTGGAATTCTTTGTCATTTTGCTCCTTTGGTGGGGAGTCTGCTTCCTTCTCATTGGCTGTAAGCTGGGCTGATGTACGGCTCCTTTAAGGAGATTGCTGTTCTTGGTTCCTGGCCCAAAGTCAGACAGTCTTCCCTCTTGGCAAGTACCTGGCCCTGAGGAGAGGAGGAGAGAGGGTGAGGATAGAGGGGGAGCATCCAGGGAGTTTCCTACAGAGTAGGGAGATGGGGACACCCAGGAAACGTGACGACATGCTTTGGAGGACTCAAGGCCGCTGGGTGTCCTTAGCCAAGAGTTCACGGAGGAGGAGTTTTTCAAGCTGAATTTGGAAGTGTGAACATTGCCTGACCCTCCACCTCCTTGGAGTGAAGTCGGAAGTTTGGATGTGACCTAGGAGACCTGGGCATGGGGTGGCTTCATGGTGGGCTGTGCCATCTTCTCCCACTTGGAGCTGACTTCTCCATCATTGTGATCCCAGGGGATCTTAGTCCATGTCCCCTAGGGAGACAGTCTGTGTGGGAAGGACTTATGGGTCCAGTGAACTAGCCCTCGTTATAGGTCTGACTCTCTGATGGATCCTTCCTCCCTCTCAGACTCAGTTTCCCCATCTGCAAAACTGGGGGGATTGGTTGGATAATGCCTGTGTTGGTGTCAGCTCAGAAATCTCACTCATTCACGAAACCAGGATGTATCAAGGCTGACCGGCTGAGGCACTGCAGGCTCTACAGTGGGGGGAAGAATAGGACACACTTCTGCCCCCCCATCCCCCTGAATCCTATGATCTAAAGACACCAGTCAGACTGGGTTTAGGGGGTTCCGTCTGGAGCCCCTCCACTGCATGTTCACTCCATTCCACACTGACTTAGAAGCAGAAGCAGTGAACATTTCCCAGCCAGAGGTTGCAGGGCTCAGGAGGGGTGGGTTCTGTTTCCAGAACCTGCACTGCCCTGGGTCCTGGGTTCGTGAGCAGGTTATTGCCCATCCTTGCTTGGCGAGCCCTGGTGGTGTAGTGGGTCACACGCTGGGTGGCTAACTGCAAGGTCAACTCAGCAGTTCAAAACCACCAGCCTCAAGCAGATGCACTCTGTCCCTGTAGAGACGGACAGCTTCTGAGACCCAAAGGGCAGTTCTACTCTGCCCTATAGGGTCACTGTGATTCAGCAGAGACTGGATGGCGGTGGTGGGTTTGTTTGGGTTCTTGGCCAGCGATACCCAGAAGGAGAGCCACGACTCTCACCTTCCCTCCTGGCCTCATGGTCCCAGCGCACCCCCCACCCCCACCGCACTAAACCCTCTCTCTCTTTCTTCTCCCACAGGCTGTGTGAGGGCGTTGGCGCTGTGAATGTCTGTAAGTAGTAGGAGCTCTTCCTTCTCCAGCGGGCCAGCCCCAGCGGGGGTGGGGGTGGGGTTCTCAACCCTCCCCCTCCCCCAGTGACAAAGTCCCCTGGATGGGGCTGTGCCTGACCCGCACCTCTGTCCCTTCTGCCCCCTCCAGGCGTCAGCAGCTCCCGCGGTGGCGTCGTCTGTGGCAATCTCTGTGCCTCCAGCACTGCCCCTGTTGCCACCCCAGGCCTCATCAGCAGCCCCAGCAACACCAACGTGGTGGTGGGCACCCCCAACGCCTGCGCCCCCTGCGCTGGGGTCGGTGTTGGCTGTAAGAGATGCTAGGCAGCTGTAGCCTCAGCACCACAGCAGCAGACAGCATCGTGGTCACCCTCTGCCCGGCCAGGACCTTGAGCCACTCAAACGCACTTCCCGCTGCCCCCCCTGCACCGCCAGCCACCATTTGGCCCGTGCCCCTCTGTGCTCCATGCCCCTGGTGCTTGGAATACCAGGGAAGCCAGGAGCCGTCTTGGCCTCTTTCCGTAGCCTCTCCTAATCTCACCTTGTTGTCTCGAGAACTCGTCTGTTTCTTCTGCCTTCTGTTCCCTGCTGGATTCACTGGTCCCGCCTGATGCCTACGCCCAAGCTTGGAGAAAGAGAGTAGACACACTGCACCCCCGACCCCCCACCCCCTTCTGACCTCCCTGTCCACTCCCCTGGGAACCTGCTAGCAAGCTTCTGCCTGTGGAATGGAGATGGGGAACATGATGGTGGTTTTTCTATGGCTCTGCAGGCCACATGGCCCAATGAGGAGGGAGAGTGCCTCCTTTCTCAGACTGCCTGCAGAAGCTTCTAGAATGCCGTGACTCAACTGCCTGCATGCTTGCCTTTGTCTCTTAATGGGTTTCCAATAAACTAACTGTAGCTGATCAAATCTGGTGCCTCGGAGTCTTGAAAAGACCAGTGTCCTCCTGTCGGCGGGTCCCCTGCCCTCGATGTCCTGAGCACCTCTCCATGCCACTGCTTCTCAGGAGGTGACAGTGACTGCAGTCAATGCTGCCCACCTGACTTGAGAAACCCAAGCCTTGGGGGAGAAAAGGGAAGGCGCTTGGAGGCATGGAATCTTGTGGGCTCAAGACCAAGGTCACTCAACTTCAACCCCACTGACATTTGGGAAAGCACCACCCACTGTAGTATGCTTTGCGAGCTCCCTGACCTCCTGTCCCTAAGTGCCAGTAGGCCCTCCTCCCAGTGTTGACAACCACAGCTATCTTCAGACATTGCCAAATTGTCTTCTAGGGGTTCTCATCCAGGTAAATTTTGACCTCCTGAGAACCATTCTTGGAAGCGGGGACTGCTTGAAGGCATGGCATGGATGGCATGGAGGAAAGGCATGTGGGCAGAAGAAGAACATTGGGTTGTGGTCAGGAGAATTGGGTATCAAGTTCAAAGTCCTGACTTGACCCTGTCATGCAACAACGGTGTCCCTTTGGGCAAGTAACTTCCACCCTCTGAGCTCCAGGGTCCCTGAGTATAGAACAAGGGGAGTTGTGCAGTGTCCCTAAGGAATCTTCCAGTCCCAAAGGGAGATAATGTGTCTGAAAGAGTTTTGTCAAAACAGCCCTATGTCTAGATGCTGCTCCGGTCATTCATGAGTTCTGAAATTGTGAGCTAGTTCTTCATTTTTACTGAACTCTGACTTCTTCAAGGAGCCCCGGTGGTAGAGTGGTTACATGATGGGCTGCAATCTGAAAGGTCAACAGTTCAAAACCACCAGCCGCTGTGAAAGAGAAAGATGGGGCTTTTTACTCCCATGAAGACTTACAGCCTCAGAAACAGCGGAAGTTCTACCCTGTCCTATAGCATCGCTATGAGTCGGCATCAACTCATTAGCAATGAGTTGTGTTGGCTTTTCCATCTGTTAAAGGGGATAATGCTACACACTGGACTATAAGGTGTTCAGATATCTGTTGCTACCTAATAAGCCAATAAAAAAAGTAGAGGCTTAAACCAATGAGTTATTTCCCACCCCCCCCCAATGATTTTTTTCAGTAGACAGGACATTTCTCCTTCAAATGGTGCAGTTTAGGTGGTGGGATGGCTGGAAGTTCCAAAATAGCTTAACTCAGATGGTTGGGTACAATACTGGATTTGGAACTCAACTGGGATAGTTGGCCAAGGTGTATTCTTAACTCTCACAGGATTAGAGGAAGGAGGGATTGGCTAGTGAACATTAAGCGCTTTAAAGAATAGAAGTGCTACAGCCACTAGGAGGAACACTCCTTATAGCTTTCTCAGCTGCTAGGACAAGCTGCTCAAGAAGAGGTGTCTGTAACCCCAAATCATTGATGAAGGATGCTGAGCAAGATGGCTGGCCGCAGGATACTGCCAACCACCAGGCCTGCCTGCACTTTAGGAGCTGGGCATTGAGGAGCAGAATGCTGGTGAAACTTTGAGTGTTGCAGGACTTGGTCATGAGGAAAAATGTCTTCCTCCTATACAACCACTACAGCGCCCTCTACTGACAAGGCTTAACATTGTGCCATTAGAACCGTGAAAAATACTTCACCTCTTAGTTTCCACAGAGCAGGCAATGAAGGGTGATTTGATGCTCAGCATAGGGAAAACTTAGTTTTTCTCCATCCAGCCATTTCTCGGGTGGGTGCCTGGGTGTCCTCACAGCCTGGGGGCTGGGGTCTAAGAGGAAGGAAGAAGAAAGCAGAAGTTACTTCTTTTCAGGTCTGAGCTCCTAAGTCCCGGAACGTCATTTCTACCATATTCTATTGGCCAAGGCAGGCACTAGGCTATCCTGCCATGCGAGGAGTAGCTTCTCTGTATGGAAAGGAGAGGAGCTGCTGTGGGCCACTTTGGGAGACTAGCTCCCACCGGTCGCTCTCTGACAATAGCGATTTGTATTCACCACCACCCCCCCATGAGGGCTGCCCCTCCCAAGATGTCTCAAAGTTTTATCCCCTTACGATGGTATCAGTTTGAGGTTCAGAATCTCACTATTGGGCTCATAGCCAGGTGTAGGGAGGTTCTTGGCACGTGATTCTTTAATGCAGCTCTTCCATTTTGATTAATCTTAATCTGCAAACCTGGGGATTGGAAACACCAACTTTCTGTTCCCCCAGCATTCATCATGCAACGGGGAGAAAGGGATAGAGGAACCGCAGTCGGCAGCCCCAATTGTAAAGAAAGGAAGCAGAGGACACGTAGAAATCACTGATCATAACAACCAGCCATCCTTGGCACACCCACCTTGCTCAGGAGGCAGGGAATTGTATTGATTAGAGGTCAGTTAGTGGATCTCTTTGGTTCTTAATTCCACCCTTAGAATCGTTGCTGGCTCTTCTCGGTTATCTTTCCTTTTTCATGAGGAATGGCCCACGCTTGCTGCTGAATTGAGTAGCTTTCTTAGCAGGTTTTCTGTCGGTGAGAGGTTGAGACCAAAAAACCAACTCACTGCTATTGAGTTGATGCTGACTCATAGCAACCCTATAGGTCAGGGTAGAATTGCCTCTGTGAGTTTCTGACACTGTAACTATTGACAGGAGTAGAAAGCTCTGTCTTGCTCCCTTGGGGCGGCTAGTGGTTTCAAACTGCTGACCTTTTGGGTTACAGTTCAACTTGTAACCACTATGCACCAAGGTTCCCTGAGGTCTGTTTTCCTTTTCAACGGCTTCTGATTCTTATAGTTAGAACTTCTATAATTCCTTCAAAAACGTTCTGAGTTTCCAATGTATCAAAGGATTATTGAATTACAGAATTAGATGAAGTCAGACTGCAAAATCTATTTTAGACCCCAAACTCACAAACTCACTGCCACTGAGTCACTCTCGACTGATTATGACTCTGTAGGATGGAGGAGACCTGCCCTTTGGGGTTTCCTAGTCATTAAATCTTTAGGCGACAGACGGCCTTCTCTTTCCCCCTTGGAGTGGCTGGTAGGTTTCACACAGTTCACTGTGTGGCCCACTAGGCCACCAGTGTCAAAGAGACAGACCCCTCTTACTCTTGGGCTTACAGTCATGCTGCTGTGGGAACCTCTTGTCTAGTCAAGAGGGTCTGAGCAGCTTGTGTTTTTCTTAGAAGACTTTTTGTCAGCTGGATGAGTTCTTGAGGCTCTGAGTTCTGAACCAGGGTCTTAAAGCCACACTCTTGATCTGGCCTGGTTTATCAGTGGCATTCTTAGCTTGACCTTTGCCTTGAGGCCACGTCTTACTTTGAATTTGATGCTTGAGAAGCAAACAAGAAGGTCCTTGACCCTCTGTAATAAGACAAAATCGGTTCCCATTGTGTTGCTTCTTCCCCAAGGTGCCCCCATGTGCTGCAGAGTAGACTGATTCCATGGTGTCACCTTGGCTGTCATGTCACAGAGGCAGGTCTCCAGCCCTATCTTTTGTGGCACTACTGGGAAGGTTTGAACCACCAACCTTTGGGTTCATAGTTAAAAGTTGGCTGTTTCCATCCCCCAGAGCCTTCAGCCCTCTGTTATTCCTGTAGACTGTAGTCCATTGCTCTTGTTGTCTTTTCCCACAAGCAGCTAGAAGAAGCAAGTCGTCATGTTCAGCATTCTGCCTGAAAATCTCCTTAGCTATAGTCACTTATTCATTAGCTGCCCTTTGGTTTTTCATGGTACCACAGACAACAGTATTGCCAAATTTGCTGCCATGACACAATGTGTGTTGCCTTCTTCTCAAGAATCTACAATGATACCAGCACTTTCTGTTCTGTCTTCACCAATTGTTTCCCAAGGATGTGCAGATGTCTGCTTGATGCCTGGTCCCAAAGCTAATGAGGGCTTTGGTTCAGATTGTGTTACAGCAGATCCCACTTCCAGGTACCAAGGTATCTTTCAATAATCTGATGCTACTTGAGATGCATCCCAGAATTTAGTAGCTTAAAACACGAATATTACTTTTCATGATTGGATGGATTGAATGAGCAATTCTTTTGTTTCATATAATTGGCTGGGACTCTTGGCTGATTGGAGGCTCAAAATGGCTTTTGCTCATTGACTTTGACTAGGTTCTTTAGAGAAGCAAAGCCAACGTGTGTGTATGTGTCTATATCTATATCCATATATATATCTATATCCATATCTATATATGTTTATCTTTATCTCTATCTATATTACCTATACCTATATCTAGAGAGAGTTTGAAAACATGTGCGCATGCATGAGTGCCCCGATGGTGTAATGGATTGTGTTAACTATTGGGCTGTTTACCAAAAGGTCATCAGTTAAAAGCCACCAGCTGCCACATGGGAAAAAGATGAGGCTTTCCACTCCCATAAAGATATGCAGTCTCAGAAACCCACAGTGGCAGTTCTACCCAATC